CTCCTCCCAAACAACCAACCAATCCAAGGTAATTCGTTTCTAAATCTTTTAATTCTTTTTCATTCAATCCCCAAGTTCAAAATCCCTGTGTTTAGTCAGTGTTGTTTGGGTACAACTCCTTTTTTTTTTTTTTTAATTAGGTTGCTAGGTTTTTTTTTTTTTTTTTTATTAATCTCTCTTTTTGGCATATTGAATGGAAATCAACTTAAAGCTTGAATTTCTTAATATAATATTCTTGCCTTTTGGAATTTCTACTTGGCTCGTTCTAACCAGTTTCCGTAAATCATGTTAAAACAATACTACGTTTTTATGGGATATTTATTATTATTTTTTTTTATGCTTGTTACTTGCTTCCCTCCTGGATCTACGTTTCACAGCCTCGTTTCAGAGAGTTCTTCAAACTTCATGGCAGGTGGTCTGTTGATTGTCTGCGAAATTAGGGTTTTCAGTGGTTGACGTGAACAAAACCCTCCAGCATGTTTGCAGTTTCTTACTATACGTATATAGTAAAAGTGTTTAACTTGTAGTCTACTCTGTGTAGTCTTCTGGCTTTTTGTTCCGAAGGTGTTTGTGTTGATGCTTCTATGAGCTTCGTCCTGGATCTGATATATATATATTTTTTCAGGGTTTGGTTCATGCGGAGAAGATAAACAGTGTATGTTAAACGATGCGAGGCTAAGGATCTGTAGCTTTGTTACATAGGAAGTGAAAGCATGGGTACTTAGTTTGAAGGGGAATATATATCGTAAGAACTGTCATTATATGTTTTCATAAAGACTTGCTTGACTGTTTTTTGTTAGTAGATTTTTCCTCTTTTTTTTGGGTTTCAGGTTCGTCCTTGAAGTTGAAACTATGTCTCTTACCAGTTTCTTTCATTTCACAAGAATTTCTGTCTACTTTGAGGTACAGAAACATATTCTCGCACAACACTCTGTACATTTCTTTATTATTTTATTTGTTTTTTTTTTATTTTTTATTAGAAGTTTGAAACTTTCTTTCTTTTGACTGCATTGCAGAGAAAGTTCAGTTCTAGTTAGGGTGGGAGACCCTAGAATGCAAGTGCTTTAGTGTTTTGGTGGGTAAGGACTAAGGGGTGTTGTAATCAGGGATGGATATGAGCAAGTTGATACCTGAATCCCATGTAGCACAGCAAAGCCGGCGTGATAAGCTGAGAATTCAACAAAGTTCTAGCGATCTTGTCCAGCACTCTGATGACTTCCAACTGGGGTTTCTCCATCCGGTGCTTAACCCAGATCTTATTCAAGTTCGAAATGTTAGAAATGCAAACTTACTCTACGATCATAGTGCTTTTCCTTCATCAAATGTCACCCATTTTTCAGAAAATCCCGACCATTTGCTAGCTCAAAGCGATGAAATGCTGCAACAAGATTTGGAAACAGCTCAACGCACAACACTAGTCCTTGCTGACGATTCCATGTCTCCTTCAATTCTGACCCATTTCGGTGCTCCCTCTAGGGTCGGTGCTGCTTACAAAGAAACTTGTGGTAATTGGAAGAGCGTTGATCCACAGCAAGCTTGTGATTTGATGGTGAGTTACGCAAGTGGATCATCTAGTAGGGAAGGCAATCAGAACCCATTTGGTGGGGCGGTCTTGTCAAATAATGGAAGTGAAAGCAACATGTCTGCCACCACACAGTATTTGAAGCCTACTTACGATTGCAATCTAGCTGTTCAATCTACTTCAATCAATCCATGCAATGAGGTTTCCAGCCAAGATTGCAGAAGGCACTATAGTAACTTGGATATTCCCTTACCTCAACTTTACAACAGCAAGGTACTCCAGGATGTTGTTACTACAGCTTCTGTTGGAAATCGGGTTACAGAGGGAGCTTCTCTGCTGCAGCAGAACATTAGAGAAGAAGTCCACAGATCATGGACAACTGATTACTCGGGGAATCAGTCGGATTCTTTCCATTTTGATACTGGCGGTGCTGGGATGGATAGACCACCAGTGGAGAATTGGCATCGCTGGAGGGGTGAACAAGAGCCGAAGATGGTTGCAAGTGATTCTACTAATCAGGGGCTAGCATTATCACTTTCATCTAATCCACCACCCAAAGTGTATGTTGCTCAGTTGGAGGATGGTTTGCAATCAAGGTCTGTTGATTTCAAAGATCCTCAGGATTCTAAGATTTTGGAGCCATCTGTAGTTAGGAAAGCTAGTGGAAAATCTCTTCAAGTGATTGTAGGAAATTCAACTAACATTAACCGACAGACAGGACCCCTTGGGCCATTTACAGGATATGCAACTATTTTGAAGAACTCGAGATTTTTGAAGCCAGCACAAGAGCTATTAGAAGATTTCTGCGACATAACAAACTCAAAGGTAGACAAAATATGCAAGATGTCTGAGGAGATTTATGTAGAAGGTACTGCTTCAGCCTCTGCCGGCACTTCTCATGCGGCCAATATGGAGCTTGCAGTTAAGGGGAAGAACTCCTGTGCCTCATCCTCAACGTTTTACAGCTCTAGCGGAAATAATGGTGATGGTGGTCTTGGAAGTCGCTCTAACGAGCAGCCATATCAGCCTGATTACCAACTAAAGGCAAGGCTTCTATATCTGCAGGAGGAGGTTGGTTATATATATTTTTTAATATCTTCTTTATTGATCTTTTTCTCTAATGTTTATTTATCCTTGGAACTTCAGTTTACAAGGAAAGCATCATGGTCTAATTAAAAGCTTGTTAATATTTTAAACAGTTGCCATAAAATTATTGGGAGATTACTAGTTATTTATTTTGACAATCTTGGTGCAACTGATCTTTCTATTTTTGTTTAAATTCTTAAATAACTTTTAATTGATTTAGCTGCCACAGTGCAAAGTCTACCGCATGACTTAAGTACAGACTACAGTCCACAAACTCTAGAAGGCTTTACAATGTAGATGAGATGTTAATTTATTTGATTGTAACAATAATGCCTTGGAAAGAATTCAGGGGCGTATTTCCAATTCTTATTGGCTTATTTTGCCTCCATTAGCTTAGAGGAAATTTAACATATAATATATATCATGGCATAGTTTTGAGGACTATAACACAATCTTATGGTAGAATGGAGGACTGAATTTTAAATTGCCTTCAGGGATTGGAAGAGAGATTGGTATAGTAGGGCAATATGTGTTATAGTTTTATATTTTTCCCAAAAGAAAAAAGAAAAATCATTTATTTCTTTAGAGTTAAATTGTGTTAATGTCTCCAAAGGAAGGCGCTCGTCAATTTTTTCCTTTTCTATCACATTCTCTGTTTTTTTTTTTTTTTTAATTAGTTAATTCATATGAAGGTCTTATGTTGGAAGAAGTTTACCCCACTTCTTTTTAAATCACTTTATGTGAAAGTCCAGAACCCAATAAAATCTGGTCTTCCTTTTGCCAATGCTTTGTAATAGGGTCAAAGAGGTACATATGTCTATTACACTCACATGTTGAGTTCTTCTGTTCTATACCATTCCATTAATAGTATGTCTTTTTACCTTTACCTTTGCTCCCTTAAGAACTTATTGGGTGATTCTGCTGCACTTTGGCAATGAAAGGTTTGCAAAAGATACAAGCTATATCATCAGCAGATGCAGATGGTGGTGTCATCTTTTGAATCTGTAGCTGGTCTGAGTGCAGCCACCCCTTATATTTCCTCGGCTCTAAAAGCAGTTGTGAAGAATTTTCGGTCTCTGAAAAATGCAATATCAGATCAGATCAAGCATATCTCAAGAGCCTTGGGGGAGGATGTCTTCTCGCCTACTTCTGGTACGAGTAATAGTAAAGGTGACACGTATAAGCTAAAGTATATGGGGCAAAAATCTGGTGGGGTCAGTGTGGGCTTCCTTGAACCCCAACAACATGGCTGGAGGCCCCAGAGAGGACTCCCTGAACGTTCAGTGGCCATTCTTAGAGCTTGGCTGTTTGATCATTTTCTTCATCCGTAAGCCTTCTTTCATACGCTCAAATTTGCAAATCTTGGTGTGGATATTTTTATCACTGTATCAACCTTGTTTAGGTACCCCACGGACACAGATAAGCACATGCTGGCTACTCAAACTGGTCTTACTCGAAACCAGGTGGGCTCCTCAGTTTGCTCCCTATATGTTTAATTATTATGTCTAACAATCTAGGCTGGGTGGTTCAATTAGCATACAGGAATCAAGTAATTTGCGTGGACTGCTGGGAAAATTTTTTAAATTTTCAATGCCCAATGCACATTTACTTGTATAGATTCATCAATTTTCTAAGGCCTGCATTTTTCTCATTCTTTAACTTTCAAATGGTCCTGAAGTCCAGCCCGAAGGCAAGGTAGTATCTTCTCAGTATTCTTATGTGATCTCATTAGGGTCCGGCCTTTTGCAAATCATGTGACATTCCAAATTGAGTCATTTAGGCTTTTGTTGCAATGATGGCAATTGATAATGCAGGTATCAAACTGGTTTATAAACGCACGAGTTCGTGTCTGGAAACCAATGGTTGAAGAAATACACATGCTTGAAAGCAAAGGCTTGGCAGAAGCGAACCAGATCAACCCCGGTAGAACTGATATAAAATCTGCTAGTGAAGGCACCAGCTGTCAAATTGATGACCAAGCCATTATCAAGCCCTCTATCAATGCCATGTCTGATAGGCAGTTGGGGTCCTCAAACTCAGACATGCATCACATGTTGAGTTCAAGAGACACATGTAGTGCAGATCAATGGAATCAGGAGAAACGTTCGAGAGTTGACTTTCATGTCCCAACAAGCATGGACGGATCTTTAATTAGTTTTGTTCCATACCAAAGAAGTCAGCTTGAGATGGGGGGACTTGGGACAGTGTCTCTCACATTGGGTCTGAGACATGGTGTGGACAGTGCAAGGCAGCAGCAACAACAATTTCACCAACAAGAAGATCAACTTAGGCGGCAATTCGGGGGTCAAATGATTCATGATTTTGTCGGTTGATGATTCACAACTGTTATCTTTAATCTTTAGGAGTTGAAGTGGGTAACCCTACATTCACGATTGCAGGCTAGTATCTTCTAGATATCACTTCATCAATCTTGCAGTGCTCACGGAATGGATGGTTCAAGAATCACCGTCTTGCTAGTGAGTAGAACAAAATTCAGTCTTGAGGGGAAGGAGATTGACATCTGAAATTCATGTAATGTGATTGATGCAAAGACCAAATTAAATTTCGGAAAATATTACTAACTTAATTTAGGGGAAATTATCACTTTGTGATAAAAAGTTCTCTTCAATTAATTGTCTGAGAATTTGAATTTTTGGACTGATCTAATTTCGCTTAGTTCTGCTATTAATTAAATAATTGAATCAGAGGATATAACAGATAAAATCAATAAATACCAACTTCAATATTGGGGTTCAGTCCACATTTAACTTTATCTTTGACTTTAGTTGTGACAATTCACAGGTTGGTAAATTAAAGTGAATTCTCAATTATATAATAGAGTTATATATATATATTTTTAACTATAATTTTAGAATTTAATTTTAATTTTTACCTATTAAAAAAAATAAATTAATGGGAAAATTCTTAAAAGGATGATCAATAAAAATAATTTTAAATTAGGCTGTTCAAGAATTGGAGTATTTATAAAAGTTGCGAAATTTTAAATTATCATAAATTAGTGCTCTATGATTACAGCTTTTCAAAAAAGAGTGCTCCATGATTACAAGCTTTCCTTTTCGGTTTTGCCCCCTTAGTACACTCAAATTGGCTATTGCAACCATCAGAAACAAAAAGGAGAACTCCCAGTCCACAACAATTTAAAATATCATACAGTATATGTTAATTATATATAGAAGGTACATCGATCTTACACACACATATAATATAAGCTATAGTAAGATCATAATTAACCACGTTGGAAACCCTAAATACACATCATGAACTATATGTAATAATTAATAATATCAACAAAAACCATGCATGTCTTAATTAATTTATTCATATATTGCAACACCATATAATCATATATCTCTCCACCCAAAGTACGTGGTCTTACGGATTTCCGTCTCCTCCGCTGCCACCATTAAAGTTTCCCCGGGAAATGTAATGGTGCTTGTTGTCGTCGTTGATACTACTTGCAGGGCTAGCTGCAGCTGCGTCACCATTTCCAGCCTCGTTCACATAATTCTGACCATGCTCATGCTCCAGCTCCTGGACCTGTTTGCTTCTTCCAGCAGCCAAGCAACAGTTCATCACCACCATCATCATGGCCAGAACAAACCCTAGGAGCCTCAATTCTTTTGCATTCATTTCGCCTTAATTCTCTTAAAAATATCTAATTAAATTAACCACCTATTTTTGATAAAATTAAAAACTAAAAATTAAAGAGTAAAAGGCATAATATATAATTTTTATATACTTACCCAAATGAGTATTTTTGAGAGAGAAGGGATTTGGAATGGTTGTACATGGAAAAGAAAATTGAAGCAATATATATAGAGACTGCTGTGGTTTTATGCTATTAACAGTAATTAATAATATAATAAATATGAATTTGGAGATATGGTATGATGAGGGTGTCCACCAAATGAGGCAAAATCAAGTGGGATAGGCATATGCATATTAATTATTTCACTAAAATTGTTTTTTAAAAATTCAAAATGATGGGTTGAAGGAAACTTTTTGTCCATATATATATGTCCACGTATAAATTTCAGTGGATTTAATTTGTTGAAAATAGATAAGTCAATGGAGCATAATATATGAATTACGTGACTGTAACTTTTTGTGACATCAAATCATATTTATAATTAAATTAAATCTACATATACAATAATCTAATAAAATTTCACAATGACATGTCACTAAATAATAAGGTACCATGCATATATACATATATATAGACAGAGAGGATGATACATATTAGTTTTAATTTTTTTTTTTAAATTAGAGTTTTAATTTATATTTAGAAATTAAAATTTTAATTTAAAAATAAAAAATTTACTTTATTAAATATTAATACATGCATTTAAAAATTGATTATATTGATATAATTAGTTTCTAAATGTAATTATTAATATTTAATAAGTTAAATTTCTAAATTTTAAATTAAATTTTAATTAAATAAAATGAGATAATCTAAAGTTGGAATTCTAATTTTTATTGGGAGTCAGGAGTAGATACACTTTTTTCATATATATAAATATATATGAGTAAGAATCTATTTACACACTAAATTTTACATATCACGGTTACATAAAATTTCAATTATTCATCTCTCAATTTTTAATGATTAAAATTTATTTACATTTATTAAAGATAATATCTTTTTCATCTAAAAAATTATAATAAATTTTAATAATTGAAAGTAGAGAAATAAATAGTTCAGATTTTGTATAAATATGATGTATAAGATTTGTATGTAAATAAATCCCTCTATATATATGTGTGTGCTAATTCAAGCATTTTATCAAATAAAATGAATCAATAATGTATTTTCATATGTGGTTTTACTATGAAAATAAATTTGTGGGTGAATTATTTTTCATTTGAAAATCATTTTGGATTAATAATAAAAAACTAATCTATTATTAGGAACCTAATTATATAATGGGTAGTTGGTTTAGAAGGTTGATTGATTATAAATTTTAAGAAAAGTGCACTCCAACCTTAGGCACCGTGTTCAAATCCCTTCTCTTCAAAATTTGTTCTCTAAAA